CATCCTATTGCCTTCATTAGCAAGGCTTTATCTGAAAGAAACATAGCCCTATCCACTTATGAAAAAGAATTGTTAGCTGTAGCAATGACAGTGGATAAATGGAGGTGCTATCTAGTGGGACAACATTTATTATAAAGACTAATAATTTCAGTCTAAAATATTGGCTGGAGCAAAAGATTACCACCCCATTCCAAAGCAAATGCCTACCTAAATTGATGGGCCTAGACTATGAAGTGGTATACAGAAAAGGAACCGAGAATAAGGCAGCTGATGCATTATCTAGAGTCGGTAATAGAGAATTACTGAGTATGATTTTGACTGAAATCAGATCAGACTTGCTGAAGAAAGTACAAAACAGTTGGGAATTGGGGGACACCCAAGCATTGATTAAGCAATTAAAAGAAGGAACCTGCTTAATAGTAAATTTTCCTTGCAAGGGGAAAATTTAATCCGAAAGGGAAGATTGGTGGTAGGAGAAGATGCTGAGTTAAGGAGAGAAATTATTCAACTAATGCATGAGTCAGCAATCGATGACTATAGTCAGTGATAGGGACAAGATATTCCTTAGTAAGTTCTGGCAAGAATTATTCAAAGTGCAGCAGGTGGAACTATTGATGTCTACTGCCTATCATCCTCAAACGGATGGTCAAACAGAAATAGTCAACAAGTGCCTTGAAACTTACTTAAGATGCATGACCGGGGAGTACCAAAGGACTGGGAAAATTGGATTCCTCTAGCTGAGTGGTGGTACAATACTAATTATCACTCAACTATTGGAACAACACCTTATGAAGCAGTTTATGGACAGTCACCGAATGTGCATCTACCCTATGTAATAGGAGATAGCCCGGTAGAAGTTGTTGACAGAAGCTTAAGAGCTAGAGAGGAATGCATTAAGATGCTGAAGTTTCATATGAAGAGAGCTCAAGATAGGATGAAAATCCAAACGGATAGGCATCAAACTGACAAGGAATTCCAAGTAGGGGAATGGGTGTATGTGAGGTTGCAGCCTTATAGGTAGCATTCTGTGGTTCACAGACCAAATCAGAAATTAGCTCTGAAGTTCTTTGGGCCTTTTGAAATAGTAAACAACATTGGGCAGGTTGCTTATAAACTGAAGATGCCTGATCATGCTAGAATACATCCAGTATTCGATGTATCTCAATTAAAGAAACACCATGGACCCCCACCAATCACTAGTACATTACCCTCTATGGATGAGGCAGGGATGATTAGAGTGGAACCCTTAGTTGTTCTGGACAGGAAGATAGCTAAGAAGGGGAATGCAGCTGCAGTGTACTGGCTAGTTCAGTGGTCTAATGGAGAGAAGGAAGATGCTACATGGGAGCTATATGATGAGTTTGCAAGGAAATACCCGAAGTTCATAACAAGGGCTCAATAAGCTTGAGGACAAGCTTAAAGTAAGGGGGTGGAATGTAACGAACCACACCAAATCGGCTAACCATGTGGCAATGTTAGTAGTTGGTTAGGCCATTAGTCAGCTGGTAGTTGAGAGGCAATTGCTTGTACGCAGAATGATCGATATATAAGATCATATCTGCGATATAGAGGGTAGCTTTTGAATATTACTTTGTAATCTCTCTCCTTAATACATCAATGAAACTTCCTCTTTTCTGTTCGAATTTCACTCTTAATTCTTGAATTCCTACGGATTAGAATTGTTAATTCCTCGCTAAGGCTTGGAACGTAACATACGGTTAGGAGATGCACACTATGATCTGTCATCGCCGATTGCTATGTTGCAGGGCGGTGGGTATGAAGATGAAGAGTATATTTTTTCTATTGACGTATTGTCAACCCCATCTGCTCTCTTTGTACGGGAAGCTCGCTTGCTTGACCAATTCTGGAAGCGGCCGATCGAGAACGGGTTGAGAGTACTTTTCCGTTGACATGAAAATTAGTCCTACTTAGGTATTAAAAAGACGCAAGTCCTATTTAGTTTCCGCTATGTTTTAGTCCTGTACATGTCTTTCTCCCTTCTAGTTTTGAATAATTCAGATTCTATATCCACAAATTTATTTCTCAGGTCCTAAGTGATACTTGGGATATTTTTACTTGAACTAAAAAATCCTGATCTGGTCCTGATGTGTTTTATAATTATCCAAGTCTGCTATGGTCCGATCTAGTCTGGTTTGGTCTGAGACTGAAAAAAGTCCATGTAAAAACATCATTGATCTATCTTTTAGGTACATGATTGATAAAATTGTACAAAAATATACTCGGTATATAATTTATATTGTAAATATATTAGAATTCTTGTATGAAATATGCTCAAAATTGGAAACTAATAATGTAAATCGTTGATTTTAGAAATAAAAACTCAATTAAAAATTTCACAAACCATGTTAATGAGAGATAGTGGTTGTATTTACTTCTCGTTCCTTGTTATGAATAATAATAAAATAAAGGAAAATTTGAAAAGAATAATCACACACTCACTCGTATTCTCATAATAATCTCACATTTATGTAATCCCAGAATAATCTCACCTTTACACCCCATCTTTTTTAATTGGATCCTGACATGTTGGTGACCTACTATACCAGGTTTTTTACCCTTTCTTTGAAAATCTTATATAAATAATCTCACCTTTATAAAGAAACAATAAAAAAAATTAAAGGTGAGATTATTTATGTGATTTTCAAAGAAAGGGTAAAAAACCTGGTATTGTAGGTCATCAACATGTCAGAGTCCAATAAAAGAAGATGAAAGTGTAAAGGTGAGATAATTCGGGGATTACATAAAGGTGAAATTATTATGAAAAGACCAGTGAAATGTGAGATTATTCTTGTCAATTTTATTTTTCTAAAATAACACACTCTCTGTCATTTAATTGGTTGATTTTCGATCATGTAAGAGCCTGTGTTGGGACTTTCGAGGGACCATGTGCTCAATAAGGAACCAGTCACATGCTCGTTCATTCTTTTGCGTACTAACCGCCTATTATTCATCCCACATTCCCTATTATATTTTGCCCACCTACCCTATTATCCATTATATTTTCGACTCGTTCATGCACGTACTATTTTCTTCTTTTTAGGCTAAAGGGTCAAATAGGCCTTTATGCAAGTTGTATAGGCTCTATTCGATCTCTGAAAAAAAAAGTTCAATTCACACCTTGGATCGGTAAAAAATGGTTCAAATTTCATTTTTTACGGGCAACCAACCGGTCACCCGTCACGTCACCGGTCTGATTGCCACATGTGCATCTGAAATTGAAACTAAAAGCTCAAATAAGCCCATGAACACATCACAGTTGATCAAATCACCTCCTAAACTATTAAAAAAGTGTCAAAATTGTAATAATAAAAAAAAATAAAAAAATAAAAGATAAATATAAAAATTAAAAAATTGTAAATATGAAACTTAAGTTTAATTTAGATTTCATATTCATACTTTATATCTATGTTCTTACATCAATATTTTATTTAAGATTTCATTAATATTTTAATGTTTTATTTTATGTTATTATATTTTTATTATTTCGTAGGTTTTGAATTCAAACGTATGAAATACGAAATAGGAATTTATAGTACTTCAAAAAGGTTATAGAGTAAAAAATGTAAAAGTTCCATCCGGAAATATTTTGTATAACTTAAAGTATAAATATGATTTTTTATCTATCTAATACAAAATAAAATAAATAGTATAAGATGTTTAAAATCTAGTCAAATATAAAATATAATTGTTAAGAACAGAACTGAAACTCTAGAAAAAACCGTAAGTAGGAATAGAACATACCAAATATTCTCAAATAAGAATGTCGTTATTTTCATATTAATAAAATATAATAACATAAAATAAAAATGAAATCTTAAATAAATTATTGATGTAAAACATAGATATAAAGTATGAATATAAAGTCTAAAATTAAACTTAAGTTTCAATTTTTTTGAATTATTTACATTTATATTTTTAAATTTTTTTATTGTTTCTATTTTTATTTTTCGGTTTATTACAATTTAGACACTTTAATAATTTAGGGGTGATTTGATCTAATTTGACGGGTTCAGGGGCTTATTTGAGCTTTTAGTTTCACCTTCAGATGTACATGTGACAATCAGGCCGGTGACGTGGCGGATGACCGGTTGGTTACCCGTAAAAAATGAAATTTGAACTATTGTTTGCTAGTTCGAGATGCGAATTGAACCTTTTTTTTGTTCAATGACTGAATTGAACTCACACGACAAGTACGGGGGCCTATTGGACCCTTTAGCTTTCTTTTTATCTCGCTTATATTTTGTGAACTCTATTTAAGTGTCATCTTATCTTATCTCATAGAGTCATAGATATTTATTCTATGTATATTCTTTTTTTTTTATTCTATGTATATTCTATTACCACTAAATCTAATTTGATATTTGTTCTGAAATCAATCCAATTAAAAATATTATTAATTAGCTTTCTTGCAATATACTTCCTCCCTCCCAAATTGAATTGGAATTTATCAATTTTAAGGTTGAATGTAGTTAAATCAGTTTAAATAATTTATGAAACCGCAAAATTCAAATTAGTCACTAAACTTACTCCGCCATACATATATTAGACCTTGATCGATAGTAGAAATTACATTTGCTCTTTCCCTTTCCATTATTGTCAAATAATACACAATATTAAATTCTACAACTTAGTCATACTGAGATAAAAAAAAATATCACAACACATGTAGAGGGCAATTCATATGAGCAGCTCTTGACGGGAAACGCCGTGCGGAATACTGCATTTGATGTATTTCTCGGTGGAACGTTTTGATAAAATTTCGTGATAATGTCATTCATGAAGTGTCATTATGTCAGTAAAATTCCAACTTGAAATTCATTTAGGGAAATCAGCTAAATTAATTATTGAAAAGAACTGAGCTTTTTATATATATAAACAGCACAATGTTTTATTATAGAGAAAAATGATTTTCTTTCTAAATTCAACAAATTTAGTCAATTCAGCCTCATTAGTCATCATTTCAACATATTCAATAATATATCTAACAATATATTTAAACTTTCCAAGTGAACAATATTTTTCCAAAAATCATGTCAAAAATAATCTTATTTAATGTGAGCAACAAGTCAATCACTAAGGCAAAGTTTGACGAATAACCCCGCAACTTTAGTGTGGAATCATTGATTGAATGAACAATGAAGAAACGCCAATCATCTTTGAGAAAGATCATTGATTGTCGCAGCCAAAAACTTCATGCCAAATTCACTCTGGTTTGTAAACTCTCCAGCACTAAATGACTGGTCTGCACCAGAAATTATACGCCTTCTTAAGATTGTAAATCCACAATAGTCTACCTCATAAACAGTAGCTCCTGTCACGGTTGCATACACGGAGCCTACTCCTTCCCCTGGTAAGCAAAAGAATAGCTAGCTAAAAACATTTGAAGTACCTTTTTGAAAATTTGGTTGTGAAAAATGTTATTATGGATGATATATAGAACTTATTTAAGCAAAAGTGATTGTCCAGCACATAGAAAAATGTAAGTTCCAACCTCCAAAATGATACCAACCCATACTATAAGTGGTCCAACTCAAATAGAACATAATAACGATTGCTTAACTACTGTGTATTCCCAAGTTCCACCCTCCAAAATGATTGTCCTGGCTCAGCCACTGCTTGTAGCCAGCTCAATCATTGCAACAAACTAAAGTTACACTTGACTCGGGATGAAATGTATGAATAATTCAAGTTGAAATTCAAATGGTTTTGACCATAGTTTCAAAATGTGCTCAGTAAATATCTAATGCAGTGAGCTTCATTATTTAATAAAATGGGCACTAAAATAAATAAAAGGCAACAATTATAATACCATTTATGTATCTTATCATCGTAATTTACAAACGAAACTCCTTGAACTTATAAGAGTTTTTTACATAAATATTACCAATAATATTTGGGATTACAAAAAAGTGACTATTCATAAGGAACTCATACGGCAACATAGGAGTAAAAGTAGGGCAAATAGTCATACTTTTGTTAGTGGGGCTTAAAGTAGTTATATTTATGTAATTTTTTCAACTTATAATCCCTGATTTTGTAGGTAAAAAGAAGTTATAATGGCCTGAAAGTCGCAAACAGTGAAGCTTACCATGCGTCACAAGCAACAAGTTTTCAGATAGGTATTTATCAGCAAGTGCCTTAGCAACCTCCATATACCGAACCCTCGCAGCTGCCACAGGCTCTTCCCAATCCGGTAGCTATAGTTTACAAAAGCAAAATCTCCTTCAGCCAACGGAACAATATTGATAAGGGGATTCAGGGAACGTATATCTATCGAGAAGAAAGTACCTTCTTGTAGATTTTTTTTGCATTTTGATCTATGGTTCCAGTCGGCAACTGAGCTTCACATTCCGAGATGTTGAACTTAAAATCCCCATCCTTTGGCGCCACATTAGCTCTTATGGCTTGTGTATTCAACATTTCACATAACCCCATTTCAACAGAAGCCTGTGAGATTTCAACAAAAGACTAATTACCACCCAAGGAATGACAAAAATATCTCCAATCTCAAACCCTTGATGCTTGTTCCCAAAACATCTACACCCTTTTAGATTCTTGGAGAGTATTAACCTCAAGTTCAAATAAAAAGTCACGGAGTACATTTTACTCTACTATAATGCCAGTGAGGCAGCTAATAGGAACTTTTCCATACCAGTGTTAAAACACATGACGATTATCCCATCATACAAGATAAGTCCCCATTAAAGCATCCATTAATGAATTAGGAACTTATAGCTTATCAAGGGTCTGCTCACGAGTGTTTATGTTTAGGGAACAACCAAAATAGACAGGTGTCGACATTAGGGTCCTTAGGGAGGTAGTATGCTCAATTAAAAGGTGGCCCACGAAGGAAAATCAAGTTTCGTAATTCGTATTATCCAACCTCTTCTAAATATTGAATTTGCGTCCAAATCAGCGGGAAGAGCATATAACAAATCTGATACGCACTTGTGATGTAGAATGCTTATGGACTAAAGCATTTACCAATAAGCATAAGAAAGGAAAACAAAACTTAATAGGGGAGGACAGTAGATACCTTGATTTCGGAATGATCTGAAGAGACAGCATTGGGATCAGTTGTGGAACCGGATGTGATGGAGAGAGCTCGGATTACCTCAGAGGCGGTCTGGAGGCAGCGAAGAAAGGGAGACACGAAGACCCGGTGGATAGGGGAGCCAAGATCTGGGCGGAGCCTGTTTCCAACCGCGAAAGCGCGAGCCTTGCCGTCCTGGTGGAGCGGAGGGTCCCAGGGCCGTTCCGCCTTTGTAACCCAAAGCGGATCAACGTTGTCGAGGCGGTCACCATGGCGCATCACGACGATGTATTGGTAAAATTGCTCTCCGTTCCCACCGGGAAGCTCCATATCTGGCCGGGGATGATGCAATGTAGTGGCGGTAGCACCAAAAGAGGGAGGCAGAAAGCAGCGTGTCACGTATGTTGGAGGGAGAGGAATCGGTATGTTAGTTGAAATGTTTCCGCCAGCAATGGTATTAGAAGACCAAATCAAATACGGAGTACTACGTAGAGTTCATCTAAATACAAGTATTTTATAGTATCTAACTAGAGAAATGATCCTCTCTAGCAGCCCCGGTCCAAAATCATCGTTTGGGGCACTTCCCGGTGGAATTGTTTTATGAATTTTTTTGTGCATGTTTTTCATAAAGTCTGGTTTATACTTACCAAATTTCAGCTCAAAATTCGATCGGGACGGCAGTCAAATCATTTTTTGAAGTTGACTGCGTTTTTATATGTGTATTTTGGCACAGCCAACTTCAACAAATTATTTGACTGCCTTCCTGATCGAATTTGGAGCTGAAATTTGGTATGGATAAACTAGACTTGATGAAGAACATGCTCAAAACATTTCATCAAAAAAGTTCACCGGGAAGTGCCCCAAAAGGCGATGTTCGGACTGTATTCGGACCGGGGGCTGCTGGACAGGATCATTTCTCTCTAACTATATATTACTCCATTTGTATCAGAGAGAGAGATAGAGAGAGAGAGAGAGAGAGAGAGGGAGAGAGAGAGAGAGGGAGAGAGAGAGAGAGAGAGAGAGAGAGAGAGAGAGAAGATCACGTGAGAAGTGTGCCTTAGGTTAACTAATAGAGACAATAAGGTAACTTATATAACATAAATCATAACTTATAAATTTCAACAACTCTAAATCAAAAGTATAATTTTATAGTGATAAATTAAGAAAGTATGATATTACAATGAAAAACACTAGTAGTAATTGAAAAATATTTACAAAAAATATTTATCAAAAAGATATTTATTTATTTACCAAGACATATATGTCCTAATTAATAAACTATTAATACGTTAAACATAACTTATGTAGGGAGGACCGCAGAGTTCCCTATTACTATCGGAGTGCACCAAGGATCGGCTCTGAGTCCTTTCTTATTCGTTATAGTCATGGATGAACTTACGAAGTCAATTCAAGAAGATATACCGTGGTGCATAATGTTTGACGACGATATGTATTGATTGATGAGACACAATCAGGTGTTAAAGCAAAGTTGGAAGTATGACGACAAACTTTGGTGACCAAGGGTTTCAGACTAAATCGAAGCAAGACTGAGTATATGGAGTGCCAGTTTGGTGGAGGTAGAAGTAGTAGCAACAGTGGGATTACTCTTGATGGTAAGGAGATACCGGTGTGTAATATGTTTCGTTACTTGGGCTCCATAATTCAGAAGGATGGTGAATTAGATGGAGATGTATCCCATAGAATCAAAGTTGTGTGGATGAAATGGAAGAGTGCATCAGGATTTCTATGCGGTCGAGGTATGCCGACTAGACTAAAAGGAAAATTTTATCGAACAACAATTAGGCTTGTATTAATGTATGGCGTAGAGTGTTGGGCGGTGAAACAATGTCACATTTAAAAGATGAACGTGTAAGAGATGTGTATGTTACGTTGGATGTGTGGACATACCAGAAAAGACCGCTTGAGGAATGAGATAATCAGGCAAAAGGTGGGAGTAGCACCTATAGAAGATAAGATGCACGAGTCTCGTTTGCGGTGGTTTGGGCATGTGCGTAGAAGACCGAGTGAGGGGTGGGGAGAAGAGACAGAGAGGAGAGGGGGGGAGACCGAAACAGACTTGGATTAGAGGAATCAGAACTTATATGCGTCTTCTTGGTTTGGATGGAGTATGACTTTGGAGAGAGCAAAGTGGAGGGCGCACATTCGTGTGGCCGATTTATCTTTTTTATTTTTTTCCTCTCTCTTTTTCTTTTCTTTTCTTTTATCGCTTATCTTCTTTGTCTTTTTATGTTCTTGTGTTATTTTTATATTCTCCCTTTATTATGTTCTTTTACATTTTGATCTTTTATCTTTCTTATATTCTTATGTTATTGTTATCTTATATTTATTTATCTTTATCATATTAGTTTTATCCTTTTTTTCTTCTTGTTTGTCTTCTCTTTTTAGCATCGATATCATGGATCGATTCATGTTAGCCGACCCCAAAACCTTTTGGGATTAAGGTTTGGATGTTGTTGTCGTCGTCTCATTGGGTCTTTCCCAAATGATCATCCTCCTCTGTCCGCTATTTGGAAAGCCTTTGAGGCCTTAGGGTTTACTCACACTTACTCTGTGGGGCTTCTTAAATTGCATCTTTACTTATTAATTTTCAATCCGAGTTCAATTTTCAAAGATTTTGGATAAAAAAGACCTGGCATTTTTTTGGCTTTACGATGTCTGTTTCCAAGTGGGACCCTTTCTTTCCCTCTGATTGTGATTCCCCCATTGCTCCCGTTTGGGTCGCCTTTGATGGGCTTTTGGTTCATCTTCACGATGTTCGGGATCTTTACTCAATTGCATGTCTGTTGGGGAGACCCTTTAAAAATGATTCTCTTACTCCCAACTTCTCTAGACCTTCCATTGCTAGAGTCTGCATTGAAATCAACATTTCCAAAGATCTCTCATCTAAACTTTGGATTGGAAATGGTAACTCTGGTTATTTTCAATCTGTGATGTTTGAAAGTTTACCCATTTACTGTCATTGTTGCTCCCATGTTGGTCACCCCATCAATAAATGCTCCCGGGTTGATAAGATAATTATCCCAAAACCAATGATGCTCCAACGCTCCTTGGAAGTTGATGACACTTTTGTCCATGCGGTCAATAAAGATGGCTTAGCTATTGCCGATTCACTCAATAAGGGGATTCCCCCTAACATTGTTATTGCCTGTGGTGACCCTGTTGTCACCCATACTAATGTTGCCCATGATAACGCTCTTGTCGCTTGTGTTGAACACCGTGCTGCTGCTTTTGTCCCATTGGTAGTATTGAAGATGTTTCCCCTTTTACTGATTGTGATAAGCTTTTATTGTGTATGATGAATATCATGTTGCTGATTGTGGTAATGCTTTAACTGCTAGTGTTAAAGGTTCTGGCTCAGAGTTTACAGTGCCGAATGTTGCATCTGAAATTGCCGCCAGTGATAATACTGATGTTTAGTCTCAAAATGATGCCTCTAAGGTTAACGGTGTTGATGACCCTAAGGGTCTAACCTTGGACTCGAGACATGGATAACCCTTTTCTCATCCCCCAACTTACACTACACCTTCTAATAATATAATAACTGTCCTAAGTAGCTTTGTTGCCACCCAACCTACTCGGGTTTTGGTAACTAAAGCTAACACTGCTAAGGTTTCAAACGTGTCCAATGATGAATCTCATTATGAGGACAATATAACTGCTTTTCATGTTTTTGAAGGTCTAAATGATAATCCACCCGATTAGGGGTGGACTCGGGTCGGGCCACCCGGCCCGTGAACCGGCCCGGCCCGCTACTGTGTGGGCCCAGGACCGGCCCGGTTCACTGGTCCGGGTACCGGGCTTTGACCTGGCCCGAGGGGGAGACGGTTCTGGGCACGGTTCCTTCAAAATGAGACCCGGTCCGGCCGGGCCCGATTCGGGCCGAAATCAATTTTTTTTGTTTTTTCATTTTTTTTATTCCAACGGGTTGGGCTGGGTTTTGGGGTGGGGTTGGGGGTGGAGGTCGGGGGTTAATTAGAAAAAGCAAAAAAAAAAAAGGCCCGAGGCCCGGCCCAGCCTGGACCCGGACCGGACCCGATGGATACCCGGACCGGTCCCGGGCCCAACCCCAAATCCCAGAAAGCCCGTCGGGCCTAGGCCCGACCCGGCCCGAATCCACCCCTGCACCCGATTAGAGTGAATGCCCAGAAGGTTTCACGCAGGTGTATGCAAGAAGAAATAGAAGCAAGAGCACCGCCAAGATCCCAAACGACAACCAAGAAGACAAACAACTCTACTACGAAGTCAGTTGGACTTCACACCCCATAATCACAAGAATTCAATCCTGGACCCAGTTGATGCAAGGTTTGATTCACCACACAAACTAGCTGCGACACTCAAACGATACAAGACATCCCATCCGGAGGCAAAAATCTACCAGCCTTATCTTCAAAAGGCAATTAAAGTTCATAACAAATACAATAGGTATAGTGTTGGGGTACCTCTTCCTGTAATGCTTTCAAACTCTCCCTGGTATCTTTAATAATTTTTTATAATAAACTCAAGAAGTGTTCCCCTACACTTCCTCCACCATGAGTGATTCTCTCCGAGAATAGGGTTGGACTCGGGTTGGGTCGGGTCCGGGCAAGGCCTAGGCCTGGGCGGGCCGCCGGTTCTGAATAGTTAGACCCGGGACCAGCCCGGGTAGCTACCGGGTCCGGTCCAGACCGGGCCGGGCTTCGGGTTTGGTTAGTTTTTTTTTTTCTTTCCTAAGTATCCCTGACCCCACCCCAAACCCCTCCTAAAGATCAAGCCCAACCCAGGTGGAACCCAAAAAATGAAAAAACCAAAAAAAATCAATTTGGCCCGAACCGGGCCCGGGCCCGACTGGGCCGGGTCTCATTTTGAAGGAACCGTGCCCGAAATCGTCTCCCCCTCGAGCCGGGTCAAAGCCCGGTACCCGGACCGGTGAACCGGTCCGGTTCACGTGCCGGGTGGCCCGACCCGAGTCCACCACTATCCGGGAATAAAAAAACTAATTCTCAAAATATGCTCAAATTATCTTATTTAAGTGTTGTCAAAATAAACATGTCCTTTTTCAAAAGACTAATGTAATAGTTTATTGAAAATCTTGTCTTCAGTTAGATGAGTGTGTTATATTTTCATTATTCTTTGTGGGTGTGGACTGGAGTGTGTTTTAGTTATTATCAATAATATCAATAATGACATTTTCTCTTTGATGGGAATGAATCCCATGCCTCATCTCATTAGAGTTTAAATAAATTGTTAAGAGCCAAGTAGCCAACTGATTTGGTAAGAGTTCACTACTCCAAAACCCAAATCACCTTTAGAGTTCAGATCATCGTTTTGTTGAACGAAACAAACCTCTCACGTCCCTCACATTCATTTAACTGTTCAAACTCATTATCATGGGACTCACCTACATACTTACTCACTATCGTTACCGATAAAAATATACGTAAAGTATAATCTCAATGAAGTACAACTGTT